ACAGACTAACAAACAAAAAAATTAGAATAAGTATTACTAGTTTGAAAGGGAAAGAGTATAAAATTCAAATGCCTTGTAGAGTAAGAACAAGTAAGATGAATAAAAGAACCAGAAGCATATTTACAGGAAGTTAATTTTTTGCCATCAGAAGCAAAGATCCAAATATTTTCAGAAAGTCTGTATTTTACTTTGTTTCTGTTAAACACTCAAATGTTATAATCTATAGATGATTATTCTTTTAAAAACTTGATGTGTCCAAATAAAATATATCAACAAATCCTGAATCTTCATGCTGCCTGTGTAGGATTTCTGCTTTGAAAGATTATACAATCTTCCATGAATAGCATTTTAGCATTTGATTTTTTGTGTGATATGTAAATGTTAGCTTTAAAGGTATTAATTAAAGAATATGAAAGGCAAAGATAATTTCACGAGTTAAGGTAGAAAATTAGGAGTATATCAGAAATAAAAGAGAAACTGAAAAAGTTAATTTTGGCATAGGCATTGTTTATGATGGGAGGAGTAGGAAATAAAATAAGCATTTAGGAAAGAAGGTAATAATGACTAGTTTAAAAGAAGCCACACAGATTCTTTAAAAACAAGTCATATGTTAAATAGCCCTTTATTTCATAGGTGAGAGCCATAAACCATGCCAAAAAGCTGAATATGTCTGATATCAGCTTGAAGATAAATTTGTAGAATATCTGTGAACCTGTTTTGCTCAACAGTCTTCAATAATGGTGTTGAATGAACAAGAAGACATTTCTTTTTGGTTTGGGTTTTGGTACACACCTGGCAATGTTCATGCTGGCTGGGTACTCAGGAATTATTGTTGGCGATGTTCAGGGGATCATATGGGATGCGGGGGATCAAATCCACATTGGCCACTTTCAAGGCAATACCCCTGCCTGCTATACTCTCTGTTGGGTCCTGAAGACATTTTTTAATGTAGGGCTGGAGCGATAGCACAGCAGGTAGGGTGTTTGCCTTGCACGCAACTGGCCTGGGTTCGATTCCTCCATCCATCTTGGAGAGACTGGCAAGCTACCGAGAGTATCCCGCCCACTCCACAGAGCCTGGCAAGCTCCTGGTGGTGAATTTGATATGCCAAAAACAGTCACAACAAGTCTCGCAATGGAGACGTTACTGGTGCCTGCTTGAGCAAATCAATGAACAATGGGAGGACAATGCTACAGTACTACAGGTATTAAGGAAAAGTTCTCCACTACACCTCTGGGTTCCTTTCTGTATTGGGCAGTCAAATTAACATCAGACAGAGCAGAAAGAAAAAATGAAAAAATTCAGTGGCATACATATAAGGAATCAATATATATGTGAATTATAAAGCTGGTGGGTGAAACAGGATATAATGAGATAGAATCTGGGGTTTCAAAGGAAGATGAGGGTCCATGAGGAGAAGAGGGTGATTCACATGAAGATTAACAGTTAATCTATAATTTGATGTTTCCTGTCACAGGTTTTCCTAAACAAGGGTTATTTCTGAAGAAATCTTGCATTTTGCAATACATTAATAGAACTAGAGTGTCATAGTAAGCAAACAAGTCAGAAGGAGAAAGACAAATACTAGATAATCGCTCATATTGTAGTATGTAAAGAAACAAAGCAAAGGAGACAACTTTCAGTGAAAATAATTTGAGAATTTGGCAGAGTTAAAATTACTAAGTGTGGGTGGGAGCAAGAGGACAGATGGGTAGAGAATGGGGACAAAATGAAGAGATATTGGGTCTCTTATAGTGGATGTAATGCAGTATAATTGTACACTAAACATAAAAATTTATCCTATTGCAAATCATGGGAAGGAAGGAAGGAAGGAAGGAAGGAAGGAAGGAAGGAAGGAAGGAAGGAAGGAAGGAAGGAAGAGAGGGAGGGAGGGAGGGAGGGAGGGAGGGAGGGAGGGAGGGAAAAGGGGAAAAGGAAGGGAGGCTTCTTGGTAAAAATCCTAATTTGGGGAAGGGAAGGATAGAAGACAAAGAGGAAGCAATATTTAGATAAACAATCATTTTGAGATTTAAATGCAAGGCATGAGAAACTACTACCAGAAATGAAGCTTTCAGGAAAGAAGACATTTAGTCAAAAATTTTAGAAAAATCTCACTAATTATAGCTGTTATATTATTTTCATTTCTTTTTTGGTTATTGCTTTTGAATTCATATCATTTCAATATGGTAAGAACATCATATTGAAATGTATAAACTATTTATGTATAAACTATTCCAATATTAATATCACAAAAGAAAAGGAAATAATGGCTATAAAGGAGCAAAAGTAGTGGGATTAGGAGAGGGAAGAGAGAAAGTGGCAATGGAATCTAAAACCCAGCCTATGGGATGGATGACTTAAATCTTCCAACCACTGTTCTTCATGTTATCTCATTCAACAATATGAATACAATTAAGGACCATAATAAACAAAATTGGGCCATTATTATTAGCATATTCATAATGTTATCTAAGCAATTTACTAATTATTGTTTCACTAATTAGTCTTTAAAATGTTTTTCTTTTGGTTTGGGGGCTATACCTAGTAGGGCTCAGGGCTTACTTCTGTCACTGAACTCAAGGATCACATTAGACAGGGCTTGAGGAACCATATATGGTGCAGGGATCAAACCCAGGTTAGTGAAGTGTAAGGCAAGCTCCAGTTCTCACTTAATATTCTTATTCATCTTCTCATAAAGTATTAAAGATAAAATGAAATAAAGTCTTTATGGTTGTTCATTAGTATATCCCAAACATTGAGTGTCTGATATATATGCTAGAACTCTGTTAAGCACTCTAGGACATAAGTACTCGTGTATGCTTGCTGTGGTAACATTCTACTTCCATAGAATGTTAATACTTTAATGAAGTAACATTCTACTTCCATAGAATATTAATACTTTAAATATATGTCAAGTACATGCTTTTTTTTTCATAATTCTAGGTCTTTCTATCTTTGCTTTTCTCCCCTCTCTTTAGTTTTCCCTTCAAGTTCATATATTTAAAATTGCAAATAAATAATGGAAAGAAAATAATTTTTGTTTCTATTATAATAATGCTTCATTTTTATTAGCAGTAATATATTAACTTCAATAAAAATGCATTGAACATTTTAAAAACATAAAATTTGTTTCAAATATAAAATTAATTAAATTAATATTCCTAATAATGTATAATTTCCAGAAAGAACAATGATTTCTTGATCTGAGAAAAAACTGTTCTCAGATAAAGGGAATCATATCTAAAATAAATTTAAATATTTTTCAAAGTAATTTAAAAGGAAAATAATTTATTTTACTGCATTTTTCTTCATGGTATTTTATTAGCAGTTTGTGATTTAGGAGAGACTTTTTTATTATAACTTTTAAATTTTATTTTTGACCCCCAAAGAAGTTATGTTTCCCTCTTTTTGATCTGTCTTACAATTAAATTTGTCATGGAAATTAATGGGAGTCATCTAATTTTTAGAATAAGTATACTTCCAAGGAATAAAAGCATACAAACTTTAAGTGACTGCTGCTTTTACACTGTGGAAAAATGACAATACTAAATATTCCTTAATTCAGAAACTTTTTAGAAATAAGTAATTATAGTAACTTAGTCTTCATAAATTTAGAGGATATGTGTACTCCTTTGTTAATTTGACTCAAAAATTAAAAATACCTGTAATTTAAATATTGGCTGCAATCATTATTTTTATAATTAACAAGCTTTTAAAATTAAAGAGTTGGACTAAAAAGAAACTATTAATAAATGGATTTGTGCTCAGAAAGTAGTTTAAAGTTGTAGCTGAGTTGATGATGTAGACAGTCTCTCTTCTTTAGATAAGCCTTGAATAAGGTGGACTTTAAAAGTCTAATTACACCACCCAAGATCCCATTCCACTGTGCTTACTCATGTGGGACCAGTCTGAAAGGCATCAAGTGGACTCACCCGTGAATCATCTCTTTAATGTAACAAACCCTTAGCTAGAAGAGTAGGAAGGATGTATTGGTTGTTAAGAAAATGTAGATCAAGAAAGTGAATAGTCTATTATTAATAAGATCTAAGTACGACTCATATAAGTGTCACATAATTTTTGGAATTGATGGGAAGTATGAAACACGTCTTTAAGTTGGTTACAGGTCTCAATAAATACCTAAGATGTATCGAGCTCCATATAGTTTTAGAATGTAATTTTATAAAGAAGGTGGAGATCCAAACTCCCTTGATCATGTCTATATATATGTCTTAGTATATGTACCAGTGCTCTGTAAAGTGTCTTGACAGAGAACCAGAGGAGGACAAAGCGTTCTTGATCTGAGTGAGCTTACTAGCATCATGAAAATATCAAGTGTCATTCTGATCCTCTCTCTGGCTCTTTTCTGCTTTTTTTCAGGTGAGTTGTTTTCTTGAAATTTGTTCCATAGTTAGAAGGAACCTAAAATGTCAAGTATATTTGTCATCATGTTTCAAAATTTGAATAATTTTGACATAGGAGACCAATTCTAAGATCATTATTATGTTAATATTCTGATGATGAAAATGATGACATTAATAATGATAAAGTTAACTTTCATGTAGCATACACTAGGTTCTAGGCATACTAAGGGCTTTAAGTATTATCTGCAAAGTACATACCAAGGTACACATAAAGTACCTAACATAATAGTGAAGACAAAGTAAGTATTCAAGAAATGCCATTATTAAATGTTTAGTAGTAATAATAGTAGATTGTACTCATACATTATGAATATTTATCCTGCTTATGCTTTGATATTTCTTACAGATAAAACTTTGGGAAAATATTTTCTCTTCCCTTCATATATAAACAGAGTTAAAAATGTTATGATGATGATAAAGCTATGTTAATGAATTTTTTTCTTGGTTACAAAATTGACTTGAAAGGGTTGCAATAATATAGCCTTCCAGGCCTTATTGGACTTTCATGTGAATGTCCTAATAATCTGTATTTTAATTACCAGTCATACTGCTGTGATAAGGTTGGTGAGCTCAACCAACATGATCACTATGGGAGATGATAAACTTCCTATTAAACGTAAATTTTTTTCCCCTTATTTCTGCTAGTAGTGTACTAGGTTTTTCTAACTATCTTTTCATGATAGCTAACAAGTGCTGGAGGAGAATTGCATTTATTCATATACTTCTATAGTCAATGTGATCTGAGATTTATATGTAAGAAGTGATGCACGAAATAGGAGCTCCATACAAATAAGCAGAGGTATAAATTTGAGCAGATTATAGCAGGGTTAAACCCACAATTATTATTTCTCCAATATTGTAGCTAGCCATTTTAATTAAAATTGCATGGAGTCATAAATATGGAAATAGAATTTTTTTAAAAAATGTTATTATTTTTTGCAAATTTGGGCTGGAGCGATAGCACAGCAGGTAGGGCATTTGCCTTGCAAGAGACCAACCAGGCCAACCCATGTTCGAGTCCTCCGCCCCTCTCAGAGAGGCTGGCAAGCTACCAAGAGTATTTCACCCGCAAGGCAAAGCCTGACAAGCTATCCGTGACATATTTGATATAACAAACACAGTAACAAGTCTTGCAATGGAGACATTACTGGGCCTGTTCGAGCAAACCGATGAACAACGGGAGGACAGTGCTATAGTGCTATTGCAAATTTAGAGGAATGTAGTACAAGAAATGAATAAGAAGGATGAGTATATGCTAACCAGTCTAGATTTTTGCCAATTCATTAAAATTTAATGTAGAGAATACAAAATCAAGTACTGTCCTAAAGAATAAGAACAATGAACAGAAGAATATAAGAACACTAGTCAAGGGCCTTGAATGCTTTGATGGTACAGGGTAAGGTAACTGTAAAGCTTCAAAAGCTTAAGAGTCAATACTATTAAAAGAAAGAACGCAAACTACAATAAATTTTCAAAATAATGAGTTTGCTGAGGAGACAGGGTGAGTGTGGGAGGGAACTTTGGGACATTGATGGAGGGATGCTGACATTGGTCCAATATTTTAAGTTTAAACTGTTGGTTGGAGTTGAAATATTATATGCTTGATACTTTATTATTTAATTTTTAAAATTCTCAGTGCAAAAATAAAAATGGGTAAAAATAGAAGAATAAAGCAACAAGGTAAATCCCTTCTCCACCAGTCTGTAGTAAATAAAGGCTTTGGAGATAGCTAAGGGATTATTCCTGGCTCTATGGGGTGCCAAATATTGAACCTGGGTCAGCCATGCACACGTCAAGTTGTCTTTCCCACGGTGCTATATCTTAGCCCCATAACTCAAAAACACTTTTCAATCCAATTTCCCCAAAGTTGAACCAGGGATTATTAATTCATTCCCAAAATAATGCAATGGTTGACCCAGAACTATAAAATGATGTTCCAACTCCTTCAACTATTTTCTTTTATCTCACTCCAATCTCAAATAATTATTATCCTATTCGCGTTCGTTTTGTCTCATCTTTTCTAAGTTTCTACTGACACCTATGAGGTAAGCAGAGATAAAAAAAAATTAAAGGAATTATGCCTTGGCTTTGTGGGATGGACAAGAGCAAATATCATTTCTGGCTTGCGTATTACACATTCAAAAATTATAGTTTGGTTTTTCTGTTGTCTTTTTCCAGGTGTCTTCAGTCAAGGACAGGTCAGTGCTTACATTTTTCTATTCTTCTACATGGGTGATGATTGATACTATCTGGCTTAAGGGAGGTCTGGTTAAGTTAGAAGAAAAAAGTATGAATGAACAGGTTAAATGCAAAAAAATCCATGGAAGTAATTGTTTTTTTTAAAGTACAATTTTAACATGAATATGATACTTTCATATTGAAATACCTAAATGGTAATCCTTAGAGCTGAGTAAAGTAGACTGAATATAAGTAAAACCAGAATGCTCTATCATAGATTTCACTGAATGGATTTGGGCAAATTAAGCATACTTTTCCACAGCCACATAAATAGGATATTATTTATTTTATAGAATTAGACCTAAGTTTTATAAATTGTAGTTTCATTTGGAACATTATAAAATAGTTATTAATAATTAATATGTTCTGAGGATTTAGAATAGAGATTATTTCCTTTGTTTAGAAATGAAACAACTAAGAGTAGATAGTAAACTTGATTACTCTTTAGTACTTAGCCTACACCTACTGGACACTCACTGAAGTATAATTTAGTTTAAAAATTAGTATAACCACAGATGATATTCATTCTGCTTTTACCCTAATGCATCTACCAAAATCATTTTTAAGATATTCTTGTTGCATGTAAACGTGTATACAATCTATCTTTAAAATGCAAACAAAGAAGAATATGCCTTCTGTTCCCATAAGGTAGTAAAATATAAGATCCCAATATAATCCTGATCTTCTCTTTAACAGACAATTATTTTCTTCTTTGGGCTTTGATTTTACTGATTTCTATGTTTGTTTCTTAGAATTTGTGTTTTTTAAAGTTTGTTTAAAATTTTCTCCTTATTGATAGTATTCTTTACATGATCAGCCTAAATTTCAGTCTTCTATTTAGGATCACCTGGAATATTCATTAAATATATAGATCCTAGGCTCCATACAAGTGTTGAGGGGCATTCAGATTTGCAATATGAAAAATTGTTACTTCAGGAAGGCACTGACTGTGAAGTATTCAAACTATTAAAAGTGAGTCCTATTACATGCACTTACTGACTGATTTGAGAGGTTTTTTTCCCCTTGTTATTGTCTTTATACCCATATACACCACATAAAGATTTGGATACAAGGATCCCTGACATGCCTTGTAACTCATCAAATATGAGCTAAGCCCATCTTGCCAATACTACTCTTTTCCACTCAAATAAAGAAGAAGTAATGTGGCACTCTTCAGATGAACTCAGGTCTTTGTGTGCGTAGAAAGATTGTAGACCTATAGTTAGATACAGGCTGGCTGTGCCAAGAAAACGAAAAAAAAATTTTCTTAACCTTAAAAACAAGTTTTCCATGCCAAGAAATTTCTTTATGATGAGGCATCCAAAAAGAAAAATATAGTTATAATTCCAAATTAATGATTTGTAAAAGTTTCTCATTCTTTCAGATAGATCATTCAAGTTGAACTTAAAAACATTTTCCTGAATTTTCAGAAGTCATTGTTTCATAAAATCTGCCAACTTCTAAAGTGTCAAACATGAATATTAGATAATATTAATATATTAAAGGTAAAATTGCTATTTGTCAATATTAAATAAATTACAATGGGATTCCAAATGCTTGAAAGACATAGAGGCAGAATAGAAATAGTCCTTTGAATGGAATAGATTTTGCTTTTAGACATTACTTATTACTATTGTCTTTATTTTTCTTAGTCTTCTACCTGGTTACGTAGTTGGGAGCTATATATTTAAAAAATTATCTTAAAAATATTCCAGATGAAAATGAGCATAAACACAAACACTTTAAAAATAATGACAGGAAGTCCATCTGATAGTTTCCAATATCTAAGTTTATGTTTGTTTATATTTGTAAGAAGATGATATGGTAAATTCTGTACAGCTCTGTGAAACAATGCTCTGTAAAGTAGAATGAGCTTGGGGCTCTTTGTTTTTTTCTAATTAAACTGAATTCACTTTTAATTAAGATACTTAAAGAACACCAATATACAATGCAGGAATGTTAACCTGCATTTACAATTGAAATAGAGATAGGAACAGTGAGGTCTCAGAGTGTTTACCAGAAGATAAGGTCAACTAGTTAACACTTTAGGATTCTTGACCTTACTTTGAGTAAACTTCCATGGTTCTTTTCTCTATTCAACAACAGAAAAAAACGAAAGTGTGTTTGATCAATACAGCTTTAGAAGCAAACATACATTAACACTAACTGTCCTCATTTCTTAAAGAAAAGCTTATCAAAAAAATATTGAAGACAGTAGCTTAAAACAAGGTAACTGTTCTCTGAAAATAGAGTATTTTGAACCTTACAGGAAATGAAGGCCTAGAGAATAGTAGAATGATTGTATTGACTTAATAAATGTTGAGCTGTTATAGGTGGTATATTTGGCTCTGGTAAAAAGGACTTGAGACAAAGAAATATATAAAAGATAACAATTTCAAGGGGTAGAGACAAGTTAACGCTTTATTCTGAGAGCAGACTGAGAAATCTGAAGAATGAGGTTACGAAAACAAGAAAATTAGAATGTAAAACTAATCTAGGGTAAAAGATAAAAAGCTACATATTAAACGTAAAAGAACAGTGAATTTTATTTTATTTGAGGGGCACGTCCAGCAATATTCAGGGATTATTTCTGGCTCTGCACTCAGGAATCACTCCTGGTGATGTGGGAGGGGGGGGTAAGGGGAACGGGGGGGGGGGGGCGTATGGCGGGAGGAATGTGGAATTCAGGTATTAAACCAGGTTGGCTATTTGAAAGGCAGGTGTACCACACACTCTACTTTCTCTCTGTCCCCAATTTTAATCAAATTTTTGAGGAAAGGTGTTCTGTACACTTCTGACCATTAGAAATTATTTTATATTTTTAAAATTTGATGAAGACTAAAGTCTAGGCAAACATCACCTACAAAAGACATTTGAAAAAATATATATTTTAAGAGAAAATAATTTGTATAAAATTTTCTTTAAAATGACAATAATTACTATTATTGAGAAACATGAAAGAAACAAAAGATATTAAAAGGTGAGAAACTTAAAAGACAATAAAAAGAATAGAGAATAGTCAGCTGGATACTCTGTAGAAGCCAGAAAATATTAGTAGCACAATCCTAAGTCATGAGAATGCTTATAAATACTCTGTAGATTTATCTTGAGGCAATCAAATTCTTAGCAGTTTCAGTAGAATGAAAGGATGTGAAGCAGAGAAAGTAAAAGTTAAGACACAGCTGGGTTAAGAAAATTGGTATGATAAAGAAAATAGCTGATTTAGCCACATAAGCAGTTTTCTCAGTATAGTAAAAGAAAAAATTTCTACTCTGTAGCATATGGGGTGCATGGTGTGTGTGTGTGTGTGTGTGTGTGTGTGTGTGTGTGTGTGGCGGTGAGGGAGGGAGGCATTTTCAATTTTTTTTGCCTTTACTTTTGGAACTAGTAATGCTAGAATCAAATATAAATTACATGGATGCTGCAGTTTATTAAATGACCATATAAACTCATTTTTCAATTAGGTTAAATGAAATTGTAGTCACTGTTAACAAAGGTGATCAATCTGTCTGGTCAGTTCTATTCCAGATTATTTTAGATGGTTGTATTTTGAAGAACCACTAGGGGTCAGGAACATACCAAATTCTGATACTCAATACCTAGTCTCAGGACTGCCAAAGGACATACAGACGTGAATGTTAAATTATTAATTTAATAGAAACATTAAAAACAAAGTAGAGTAAAAAATAATGGAACACAAAAGTTCTTAAATGTGTTTCAATTACATTGTTAATGTTTCTATTAGCTGTATTTCTATTAGCAGTCCTCGATATACTTGATGGTTTTGCAGTATTTTCATAGGATTTATTATCGAAACAATCACATTGCCAACCTCCTGATAAAGATGAAATAACTTTTGTTTCTTTGTTTATTTGGTTTTGGGTCACGCCAACCATGCTCAAGGTTTACACTTGGCTTTTGACTCTGGGCTTAAAGATCACTCCTGGCGGTGCTAGGGGAGGAGGGGATCTTGTAGGGTGCCAATGATTAAACCTCTAAAATCTAAACAACTGACTTTTCAGTGAAAACAAATGCATGTGTAAACTGAGGGTGATTGTAGGACTATCTTTCCACCTTTAAGGTTTTTTTCTTCAGGTATTTAGGAGACTGAATGAAATTTCAGTGAATCCATTTGAAATAGCCTCATGTTCTCTAAGGCTTCGGGATTCTGGTAAGGTCTTATAGATGAAATTAGACTGACCAAGGTTGATTTTACTCTTGAATTACATTCGTTCCAAACCTCCTTGCAAATTTTTCATTACTCTGACTTTAAATAATTTTATTCTTGTTTTAAAGTCAGTTGTTTGGATTTTTAAGGGGTCTAATCCTTTTAAAATGTAAAAGTAAAAAAAAATTGTCAGAGTTATGAAAAGCATGAAGTTCAGAAAATCTAGTCTATTTCTTTTCACCGTATTGGGTCTATGATCTCTTTATAATCTCAAGTCTGATACCATTTGTCTTGCTCTTGCTTCACAGTAAGAATTTTTGACTGGCTTTGCAAAGTCTTTCGTCACCGTCTCTAAATTCTGGGAATCTCAGAGAGTGGCATTTTCTGTGCCCAGTTATAACACTGATAGTTCTCACACAGTGCATTAAAAGGAAACTCTAAATATAAGGGTTGACATTTTGGTCAGTAATTATTGCTCTTCCCAACCAATTTTTCTACTCTCACCCGAAGAATTGAAAAGTTAAATGCTTTATTTAAATCACTTCACTGAACGAAGACTCTGACTACTGATTCTTGAGCCATCAAAACTGGAAGGGCCCTTTCCACTTGATGTTGCATTTCCAAGAGTCAGAGAAGCTTTATGGAGTATGAGAGCTGCAATTTAGGGGGTTAGGGAAGGCTTGTAATTATAAGCTTAGTTTTTGCCTTCCAGGACTATTTCAAGTATTCTATATTAATTTTCTACAAAGCACTCATGACCACATTTAACCTTAAAAAATTCTGGGAATGAGACATTAACAGCTGTTTTAATTTTTTTTAGTTGAGAAAATACAGTACACAAAATAAATGCTTTATGCAAAGTAATAGAGCAAGTTGGTGGCAAGAGTCAGAATGAATTCTTCTGATCTTCAGTTTAATTCAAGGACCATGGAAGCCACTACAATTTGAAAGTCTGAAATGAATGTTTTATTTGGTCAATTTGGTTTTGTTTGATGGAAATTTCTTCCTCTTCTGACTATCATTCCAAAGGGTGGGATCAATAAGAGAGGAAAGAGGCCATAGGGAGGGAGGTGGATTCTAGAAATTTTCCTGGTTAATGACCACCCCAAGTGCCACTTCCTTATCTGTTTTCTAAAGGAGAAAAGAGGCCATATTACAAGATCAGAAGGTCGGTTCCCACGTGGCTTAAGGAGGCGTCTCTTTCAAGTAAGAGACTTTATTTTTTTCCTCACAGATTTGAGTACAGAAACACATACATCTGTGACTGACTTGCCCTTTCCTCACCGCCACAGTGCTTTCCTCACTGTGGTACTCATCACACATTGTCTCATCATTATCAACATTCTACTTTTGCTTTTCTGGTGCAAATAAGTGGTGAGTTGTTATAGTTCTTCTTTTCACCAACAACACCCAGTACTATTGTCTTCTAGATATGAGTTATACAGAGACAATTTGAAATAAATAGAAGTGTTGGTCAGAACACCAGAGGCCAGTGTTTCTGTCTCAGTGATTCTGAGGTTTACTGGCCTTATAATTCAGTATATAATTACAAATGTAATTAATGACTGCAAAATGCATTCATGTTTAAAAATGAAAGTAATGCTGCATTGTAATATTCTGTAACTCAGGATGTATGTTCAAACAATCAACTTGTGTATAGACAACATTAAATTCAGCATTTTAACTCAACACTGAACCTTAGCTGTCAGGAAAAAAAAATTCTCTATGAGTGTACTAACTAAAAGAGTTTCAACCTTTTATCCTCTTAGGATAACCAATGGGAAGGTCAATATTCTTGAAATAGTTTTAAAGGATGAAGGTATCTATAAAAGAAGTCAAAGAAAGAGATGTGGGAGAAAGCACAATATTTCTCAGCCTGCCCAATAACACAAGTTGCCAAATTTCAACAAAAATATATAAATAGTCTTAGGTGTCTTAAATCTGCTGTTTTTAAAAATATTTTAGCACTTCGTTTATTTTGCTTCCCCAGGCAAACTTTAGAGAGATTTGTCGGTTCATAAAGCTTTTCTGATGTCTATATATTCTGAATATAAGGGGTACATGACAACCCTATAACCTATATAAAATTTTTATAGTTTTTTTTCTGTCAATGAGGATGTTTTACAAACCAACTTTAGTACATGTTGGAATAGCAAATAGGTAATAAAAGGAGTATGTACAATCGCAAGTATCTATACTTCTAAATAGTGTGGCATTAGTAAGCTACTTATTTTCTTGAAGATAAGTATTCACATGTGTAACTGATAAATATAAAATGGCTCACTACATATCTCAGTGCTTTTGTGAGACTGGACTTAGTTTATTCATATTAGAGTAGTTTGCATATTATGAAGTAATTGGAAAAAATGAGTATAATTCAATACTCATTGAATTAGAATAGGGGTAAAGTAAATATTTAAATCTCACTTCAATCCATATACCTAATACAGTGTTAGTCATATTGTTTGCAGACAGAATAAAGTGACTCAAATATCATTTCAGACCAAACATAAGCTACACTAATAGTATATTAAAAACGAATATTAAAGGTTGGAGTGATAGCACAGCGGGTAGGGCATTTGCCTTGCACACAGTCAACCCGGGTTCGATTGCCAGCATCCCATATGGTCCCCTGAGCACTGCCAGGAGTAATACCTGAGTGCATGAATCAGGAGTAACCCCTGTGCATTGTTGGGTGTGACCCAAAAAGCAAAACAAAAACAAACAAACAAACAAAAAAGTAAGTTAAAATTACAAACTACTTCTGAAAGAAGATTTTATCTGAAGGTATTAGTGAAATAAGAGGTATTTAATAAGAGCCTAGTGCAATAATTATTTCATAGTATTTGTGCTCCCCAAGACTGGATGCAACCTTAGAATCGTCTAAACATGGCAACTTAAGCAGTTATCACTACATTGCTGTATACTAAGTACGTTGAACTCAGTTTGTAACATAAGACTCTGACATACGAGTTGAAGAGAGCTCAATGAGATAGCTCTTTGCACACAAGAGCCTGGGTTTGATCTAGGCAATGTTTGAATTCCTGAGCACCACTAGGATAGACACCCTGGAACTGATCCCATGTTAGTCCCTGAGAAATGCTAGCTGTTGCCCCAAACCACAAAATAAATAAATAAGAAGAACGTTGATATAGAATGTTAATATTAAAAACAGAGAGGTTTTTTCCTTTTATTTATCCACTTTATTTAAGCACTGTGGTCTACAAAGTGGTTCTTGATGCATTTGTTACAGACATCTAATACTTCAACACCAATCCTACCACCACTGTCACCTTCCCTCCACCATTGTCACCATTTTCCCAATCACCCCTCAAACCTGCCCCTGTATAAGAGTAATTTTATATTGCTTGTTGCTACTGAATGTTCAACAAACACTTCAATGAAAGGAAATTTGTGAAAATTGTTGTGTCTCACCATGGGGCTATTAAGTCCTTGTCTGAGGGTTTACTAAGCTACGTTTGCTGCTTAGTTCTGTGTTCCTGCTAGTTGAGATTAGGTGATTTCCCGTTATATGACATTCCCATCCAATTCGATGTGCTCCTACTGTGATGTCAATATTGTAATATTTGAAGATGTTCAGAAAATCCAGAATATTTAACAGTTTTATTCTTGAAGAGTGGATAAATGAATGTTGCAATCACAAGAAAACCTAACAAGCTATTGGGTAACATCTGGGAGCTCTTTGCTATCATCATCTGGATTTCCTATCAGTACAGAAAGATCGGAATTAATGCGATGAAAATCAAATAACCTTTTAAATCTCAAACTAATCTTAATTGGAGCAATTTGGAATTAGAAATAAAAGTTGAATCTGTAGTGTTTGTCTTTCTTATATTTTTAAAGATTTAATATTTGTCGTAAATCATTAATTTACTCTGTTGTCCAAAGACTGTTCTGAAATACAGCCCATTGCACACAATGCATTAATGTCACAATTGATGTGTTATCATTGATAGATTGATTGCGGTGAGTTTGGAGATCCCAAGGTCTACTGTACCCGGGAATCTAACCCCCTCTGTGGGTCTGATGGCCAGACATATGGCAATAAGTGTGCCTTCTGCAAGGCAGTGGCGTAAGTATGATAAGCTCCAACTCTGTTTCTTAAAAATGCATTTGCAGAAAAAGATTGACATTTTCCTTCAGATATTCTAGAAAATCCTATTCATATCTCTAATTAATACTAAATAAGCTAGATAAGTGGGAAGAAAACAAATAATGAGAACAAAAAACTTACAAAATAAACTGTAAAACATGCATACTCTTGGTTTCTTAATTTTGCATTAAGTTAAACTTTTATGGAACCAGAGAGATGGTACAGAAGGTAAAGCACCTGGCATCCATGTGGCTGTTACAGCCAGGACCCTGGATCAATACCCAGCCCCACATATGGACCCTGGAGTATTGCCAGGGGAGACAGAGCAAGTAAGGCACTAGCTCCTGAGCACTGCTGCATAGAGCCCACTCTCCCACCCCCCCCTAATTTTTTTACTTCTTAGAGAAAAGTACTTCAAGATGCATATAAAACTAATTTTCTATTTTTATGAATTTCTAATCAAAACTTCCATTGATTTTTTTAACCAATATGTTTGCTTTTATTGCTATTAACTTTGGAAAATTTGAAGCAAATTTTTAGAACTGTCTGTCCTGTCTTCCCATTGTTCATTGATTTGCTAGAGTTGCCCCAGTAACGTCTCCATCGTAAGACTTGTTGTTACTGTGTTTGTCATATTGAATACATCACGGGTAGCTTGCCAGGCTTTGCCATGTGGGCTAAATACTCTCAGGAGCTTGCCGGACTCTCCAAGAGGGGCGGAGGAATCGAACTCAGCTTGGCCAGGCTGGCTGTGTGCAAGGCAAATGCCCTACCACTTTGCTATCACTCCAGCCCCAATCTTTAGAAATACAATGAAATATGAAAATTTATCAAAATCAGGAACATTGAAACTTTCATTAACAAAACAGTATTTAATCCAAATTATTTTTAAACACTTTTCATATGTAAAGTTATTGCTAAGACATGATTTCTATTAATTCTTCTCTTTCAATATGATGAAAAACATCTTTAAACACAAAATAGAGGACAAATTTATCCTTTACTTTCCAGACTATTCAAATTCAACTTGTAGTAAATATTCTGCCAAATTAGACTGGGGATGGATCTAAGTATAACAGAAAACATTAGTCACATGTGTGAGGTCCAGGAATTGATCCTTAGCCCTTCAAATAAAAAAAAAAAGATGTTCTGAAAATGACCAATCACCAACACATATTGAATTCTCATGTTTATAGGTACAGAACAGTTGCTATGAACTTTAACCTACATTGTATCATTGTGTGAGCTTCCTGATGGAATATAGTTTTTAATAAATAAAAGTTTACATTTACTTAATTTATCACTTTTTAGTCTGATTGCTCAAAAAGCATAAAATTATATTTTATGTTAAGCTAAAATAAAAGTTATCTTTCTTTATCACTGTCATCAATTTCTCATATGAGAGATTCTTTTATGAGTGTCTTAATTTCCCTCAATTTTGCCACAAAATTTCTATACTCAGATATTCCATAAATTTCTATCAGTAACAACTGAGACAGTGCATAGTTAAAATTAATATTTAATAAGCATTACATAAAATAATTTTATAATAAATTTAGTTATTATGACTAAAAGTATGACAAGAAGATTAGTCATGTTATGACTAATTGATACCAAACTTTTCCCAAAGGAAGAGTTGCAGGGTAAGATGAAATTTTATTTAATGGATAATTTACTATGAAAGTCTGAACTAAAGCTTGATATTCCTAATATGGTTTCCCAATTCCTAAGTGTTTCATTCAGCTTCTCTAACAACATGAACCAATAACACTAAAATCTCTTTGCCATTATTCTCCTGGTTCTTTAAACTTTTCTATTTGTATGTATCAATCTGAGAATGAATGATTGAAGTGGAAAGACATGAGACACCTTAAATCTGAAAACCATTCAAGATTTATGCCTTCTGAAATTTAGCTTGTGAATACAGTTAGCTAACTATTGTCAAATTTTAGAATCAAATGTTAGTCCCTGTTTCAACCTTCCCCAATTTGCTTGATGTTATACTGAAAATGTATTTCTCTTTTTCTCCTACAGGAAGAGTGGTGGAAAGATCAACCTAAAACACAATGGAAAATGCTGAATTAAAGCCAGCATTCTGACTGGACTAGCTGACTATTGCTATTATCATCTTGTTCCTCTTGCCTACTTTTTCTTGTTTCTAGAAAAATCCCTTAAATTTATAAATACTCATTACTCTGCCAAGATCTGGGGGGAGTTCAAGATATATTTCTTTTGATTCATTTGTCAATAAAGTAAATGCCACAAAATCACAACCAGATTATTTGTTTTATTTTGAGAACAAGAAAATATAAAGATACAAGATGAAATAATTGTTTTGGCATAAACTTGAACTTGATCCTGCTCTACTATACCAATAAGCACTTAGTCACTGTAGAATAGTAAAAATATCTACTCCACTCACTATTTTTAGAATTTAAATGTTGATAATGGAAGCTTTTTAACCACAAAATTAAATAAAAATGATTAAATATTATGGTTACAATAATTTTACAGTGTCTGTATTTTTGTCTTTAACATAGCATTAGGTTTTTCTAATTTCAGAAAAATATTTTACATAAAAATAAAACATGTTATCACTCTGGAAATTGTTTTCTTATTTTAAATGAATGGAGGATTTGGAATACATACTATATAAAGATGGGCATTATTTTTTCCCCAACATCATCATAGGATCTAGCAGATAGAATGAAGCAGCAACATATACAAAACATAGTGAATATTCAGTAAATACTGGCAGAGTTTCTAAAATAAGTAAATTTAGAGTGTAGGTAACTGATGAAATGAGAGAAGCTGTTCAACTGTGATCAATCCTAAGGCCTAAAGGAAGCTTAACTATTTACTGCCAAATGATGTGTGGGAATATACATATATGTATATGTATACGAATATATATGTACATACACATATACATGTGTGTGCTTATAGGTATATATACATATACACATATACATATACATGTATTTATGGGTATATATACATATATGTGTATATATATATATATTTATAGAAACCAAACCAAACTGGAGTATGCACCTGAGATCACCTGAGATATTTTTAAGTGAAAAATGATAGATTAGTTTAACTAATGCTAGGAAAATATACCTTCGTTCTCCCAAATGTGGGATTTGAGGTCTTTGATACTTAAATCAATACCTCACTTTGTTTGTACTGATCACATTAAGTTTAAGTCACATTAACCAGAACTATGCATCACAGCTCTGACATATTATACTCTTTTGGACACATCATTTAGGTCCTCTGTATCATGATTTACTCATTTGTGAAATAGGCATATTATTATCTATTTTTAAATTTATTAGGAAGACTGGAAAATAATTCAGATAAACACATAGTGTCTGTTTTGTAATGAACTAAAGAAATGGGAGCTTTTGTTAGCATGCTCTTCATCGATTTAGTATTGAACCTGCTTCAATGTTTAATTAAAATATCCAAAGTCTAATAAACATGGTTTTTTACCTTCTTTTTTTTTTTAAAAAAAAGTATACTAAATTCAATTCTTCTTAGGGAAATTAAGCCCCTTTATTTAATTTCTTTGTCCTGAAATAATTTAGCTTTATAGCATAAACATGTTGGGTGTAATGTAAGTGTGCAGAGTACAGTTTATAACAGAGTGACTGTGTAGTTTTATATTTGCGGGGGTGGGTGGAGAATGAGGCACACCCAGCAAGAGTTATGGCCTATTCTCTGCTCCATTCTCAGGTTTCCCCCGATTGATGTCTCTGAGGACATTACAGTTCAACCCCTGGATTGAATCTTGAACTCCTGAATGCAAAATATGAGCTCCAGCCAGCCCATTGAGTTTCACTAGGTATCTTTGAAAGTATTGAAGTATTGTTTCCCAAAAGTACTGCAGGTGCTTGCCTTACATGGTTCTAACCTGGGTTTGATCCCCAGCACCCCATGTGGTTCCCTGAACACTGCCAGGAATGATCCCTGAACACAGATTGAGGAGTAAACCCTGAGCTCAGGCTGATGTAACCCAAAAACAAAAAAGGTTTTTCAAGCTTCACAGAGGTGTTGGCTAAATTGTTAGAACAATCTGGGTATATAGTTAGAGTACAATCTCTTTCTAGTTCTCGTTTTTTTGTGATGAGAGGCAAGTAGGTTAAATTAAATCACATAGAACCAGGAATTTTACATTTAATGGGAGAAAAAGTCACAGAGGGGGAAAAAACAAACATCACACAGGAAGAAAAAAAAAACAGGAAAAAAAAACTCCAATAGAGTAAATTATTAGAATCATCTTGGTAAATTATCAGAATAAAATCTCTTTTCTAGCTCTGAGTTATTCTTCTGTGATGAAAGCATAGTATGTAAAACTAAACCACATAAAACCAGGAATCTTACATGTCTTGGGCAAAAAGTCATACAAAAAAAATACTGTCAAAAAATAGGCCTTTAAGTTCAGATACGTATATACTTGTCAAATCTCTGTGAATATACACTGAAGATCATAATTTGTAAATATTATGTAAAAATATAAATATATACTATAACAAAATGTGATAATCATAGAGAATTTTGAGAGGAAGGGAATCTGTAAGATTCCTTTGAATTGCATCAAAAGGTTTAGATAGGTAGTTAAATCACAAACAAAATGTTAATGCTAGAAAAATTAGACGGTGGTATTGAGAAGTTCACTGTAAAATTATTTTAACATTATTATAACTTGAAAATGTTTTATTTATGCATTTTTAAAAAAAAATGATTAAAATAGTACAGACTATAAACAGGAACAGTTATACTCATAGATCTCTTTAACATTATTCCTTATTGTGATATTGAGGACAGAACATTCAATTTGCAATACTGTTTGTGATCTTCATTTAAAGCATAAAAGCTTTAATCAAAGGTCTGTATCTATCATAATACTTTTAGAGGACAATAAGAACTGTCAAATTTAGATCATATCAGACTTGTAAACATTAACTATCCTTGCATATATTTCTTTGTCCCAACTGTTACTAAGTCAAGTAACAGCTGATTGATTTCCTAAATCAATATTTCTCTAATTGTCTTCTTCTTTTTCTTCATAACTAAATGCAGGACCAAAATGATGAGGTACGTCAAATAAAGTAGATAATCCTTAAAAATAATGTGTTATCTAAATGAAGCTTTCTTTTTTTTTAAAATTTATTTATTTATTGAATTACTGTGGGAAAAGTTACAGAGCTTTCAGGTTTAGGTCTCAGTCATGTAAATACAAACACATTTCCCTTTACCAATACTTATTTTTAACTGCGAACCCCAATAGAACCCCACCTTCCACCCCTCCCAATTCCTGTGAGGCAGATGAGTTCTAGTTAACACTCTATCTACTTTGACTAGATTCATTGTTTTGATAAAGGATGCACCATTATTATTTAGAGTTTACAACCCCCCCCCCCAATCAGACATGCTGAAAAAGCATTGTGAAATGATTTTCTTTCTACAGCTGGGTTTAAGAGTTAAATAATATCGAGGCCGCGCAGTTTTGGATTTCTGCTATTTTACTTATTAACCCTGGAAGTATTTCTATTAAAAGTTAGATAGTTAGGAGATTGGTTTCTGTGCTCTGGAGTTGTGGCCGTGCCGAAGAGCCGCTTGTGGGGGGCAACTGGTGACCTCGGTCGGGCATGAAGGACGGACCGGAGCGCCCCCCTTCCCATGAGGTCCCTGCCGCCTCCAACCCCCGGCTCAAACCTGCTGTCCACAAGGCTCCCGTGCGGCCGCCATCTTTCTTTCCCTAAATGAAGCTTTCTTAAAATGGAATAAAGAACTATAGGCAACTCTGTCTTTCTCTGAAAATACAAAAATATAACAAAAGTAATTCTAACCAAGAAAAATATTGAAATCATTCACCATTGATAAAATTGATCAGTTTACTAAACAGTTTGTTGTTTTTTGTAAAATGTCTCCACAGTCAAATTAAATATAGCAACAACTGTGAAATTATAGCCTTAGTTTTATAAATTACAGACACAAGAGGGGAAAAAAAGGAGACAGGAGAAGAAAAATAAGAATTATTTTTCCATATTGCCAGTTCATTGCAGAGTCTGGATTGACTCAAAAGGGTTGCATAAATTAACATTTCTTAGCTACTTATTAATGTGATAAAGCAATTTCAGTGACTTGCATATAAGCATTGAGTTGGAACAGTTATATTTGGAGACATCAAAAATATAAGTGTTCATAATTCAATAAAGGTTAAGTACCCATATAAAGAAGGTGACTGGGCCAGAATGATAGTACAGCAAGGAGGGCATTTGCCTTGCATGTGGCTGACCTGGTGATACTACAGCAGGGAGGGCATTTGACTTGCACATGGCTGAACTGGGTTCAATTCCCGGCATCCCATATGCTCTCCCCCGCCCCGCACCCTCCTCCCTGGCCGAATAATATCAAGAGTAATTCCTGAGGGCAGAGTCAAGAGTAACCCTGAGCATCACCAGCTGTGACCCCAAAAGCTAAAAAAAAAAAAAAGAAAGAAGGTGACTGTGTAAAACATTGGTTTGTCGTTTCTCCCTGGCTGCAGGGAGCTTAAGTTTATTGGGTTACACCCATTACAGTGCTCCAGAGGCACTCCTGTTCATGTGTGTTCATCTTTAACCTCTTCTCTGTGCTTTGCTTCCTCAACCGATGAATCACCTTTGTCCCCAAATCAGACTGTTGATTTGTATTTGTACGTGAAATGCTTTTCTCCTTCCCTTATGTCCTATTCATGGTTACTTCAGAGCAATGTCCTTATTGTATAGACACAGGAAGACAGTAAATGCTATGATTTTGTAACTTGGGAGTTAATTGACTCTGAATAATATTCATCCCTGCGCATCTGTTTTCTCAGTTTAAGTCTCAGTTGCTCTTAGTTCCTAGCACCCCAAAAGCAGGGTCCAGACAAGGAATCCAGCGCAAGCTATGAGCTACCCTGGCATCAAAATGGGTCAGGCCAGTTGTCATAATACTTAACCACAAGCTAAGAGCACAGTCATAGACAAATTCTGTCATGATTCAGGAGTTACAACTGGATTAGGACCCTGCTTAGGGCTAGGAAAGACTAAT